CACTGTGAGCTGCACTGCCTGCTGTTGGGAAGGGATGACACCAGCACTTCCTTGGCCGGCCCTAGCTGGTGTCTCACTGGGTTGCAGGCACCCCATGCCCACTGGCTCCAAGGCCAGTGTAGTACCAGGACTTGCCCAGAAACTGCAATATTTGTAGCCAAACTGCCTTTCGAATGTATTCAGGACCACAGGGCACTCTAATTTGTGGTGGTGGTGCTAGCTGGCATTTAAGTTTCTCCTGCTGAGACAGAGGATACCCCTCTGGCTAGGGCTGGATTAAATGCTCCCTGCATGGGTACTGGCTGAGTTCTGCCCTGTATTTTGTTCGGCTTTGATAGTACACACCATGTACTAATGTAAAGTCCTACAATCACTTTAGTGAGGAATTAATTTGAGGAAGGAGCTCCTCTAAATACACAGATTATTTCTCTGAAATGTTTGGTGTACCCAGAAAATGGAGACAGTGTGGTATAGGCAATGAAATACTGACTTTCCTACCCTCTTCAGTGTCTCTTTCCTTGATAAGTGTTAAAACCAGATACTGTGATCACTCACCTGATTTTTGGTTCTTAGAGAGGTTCTTTCTCATGTGGATTGTTGTTCAATTTGGTGTTTCTGTGGAGGAAACAATTGCAGGAGGTGTGTATTTATCCTTCTTGCTCTATTTTTTCTTATGGGAGAATTTTTTATTACTGACAGTGTTGTTACTCATTTTTGGTCTGCTCATATTTTCTAATTTTTCATAATTCAGTCCTTGTAAGTTTTATGTGTCCAGAAATCTATCCATTTTTCTAGGTAATAAAATTTGTCACTGTATAATTGTTCATAATTCCCTTGTGAATCCTTTATATTTCTGTTGTATCAGTTGTAACATATGTTTCCATCTTCAATTTTACTTATTTGGGTTTCTCTCTATTTTCTTCATTAGTCTGGCTAAAGATTTTTTAAAATTTCATTTATATTTTTTTAAAGAAAATTATCACATTTACTTTCTGTAATTTTCATTATCTCTATTTTGTTTATTTATGCTCTGATCTTTATTATTTCTTTTCTTGTATTAATTTTTAGTTTGGTTTGTCTTTGTTTTTCTAGTATCTTAACATGCAATGTTAGGTTGAGATTATTCTTCCTTTTTGATGTATGCATTTATTGCTTAAGACTTTACCTTATAACTTCTTTTGCTGTGACTCATAGGATTTAGAATATTGTGTTTCCATTTTTGTTTGTCTCCAAAAATTTCTAAATTTCCCTTTTCTCCATTTACTTATTGGTTTTTCAGGAGAATGTTTTTTAATTGTTACGTGTTTATAATTTTTTCAAAGTTCCTCCTATTGTTGATTTCTAGTTTTATACAATGGCGTTAAGGAAATATACTTGATATGACTTAAATCTATTTGTGTTTAACTTTTATTTTAGATTTGGGAATACATGGGAAGATTTCTTAATAAGTGAGGTTGTATCAGAGAGGTTTGTTGTACATGTTATTTCATCAACAAGGTAGTAAGCCTAGTACCCAATAGTTATCTTTTCTGTTCCTTTTCCTTGTCCCACCATCCACTCTGAAGTGGATCCCAGTGTCTGTTGTTTCCATTTTAAACTTCATAAGTTCTCATCGTTTAGCTGCTACTTATAAGTGAAAACATTAGTTTTTCAGTTCCTGCATTGGTTTGCTAAGGATAACATTCTCCAGCTCCATCCATGTCCTTGCCAAGGACATGATCTTGTTCCTTTTCATGGCTATTTAGTATTCCATGGTTTATATGTACCATGTTTTTTAAATTCAGTCTATCATTGATGAGCATTTAGGTTGATTCTGTGTCTTTGATATTATGAATAATGCTGAAATGAATATTCACATGCCTGTGACTTTATGGTAAAGTGATTTAAAGTTTTCTGGGTGTATACCCAGTAATGGGAGGGCTAGGTCAAATGATAGTTCTGCTTTTAGCTCTTTGAGGAATTGCCATACTTCTTTCTACAACAGTTGACTAATTTATAATACCACCAATAGTAGAAAACCATTCCAATGTTGGATACATATCTATTTCTAATTGTTCTATTCTTTTGCTGAATTGATCCCTATATTATTGTGAAATGACCTTTGTTTTTTTTTTCCAGTTTTCAATATAAGGTCTATTTTTTGTTATGTAAGTTTTGCTATTCCTGCTTTTAGTCTCTATTTGCATGGAATATATATATTTTCTATTTTTCCCTCAGTTGACGTGTGTTATT